TGCTTAGCCTATAATGCTTTAAGCATGATGCACACACGCTTCTTGCTCTCTCGTGCTGACCTTCCACGCACGATTTTTCTACGTACTCGTAATTTGTACATTTAAAAAAAAAAAAAAAAAAAAAAGAAAGAAAAAAATGCTTTATCTTCGTAGCTCGTATACTATTTTACATAGTGCTATATTCTCTTTTCTTCGTCAAATAATTATTATTTTTCTTTAACGATATATTACTTATATACACGAATACGAAACACTTAACAGTTTGTAACCACAATAGTAGAAGTAGTATAGTAATCTAAATTCCGCTAAAGATACATAATTACACATATACATAGATATATGTATATATGTAGATGTATCCAATGCGTCTTACATTAAATTCATGACGATCGGCCTGATTAATCGTGTATACAAATTCTTTTCAAATTTTATTATTTAATATTGATTACCATTCGCGGAAAAAAAAATAGTATTCTTGAATTAAAGTATTATAAAAAAAAATCTTGCAATTAGATCCAAAGATATTTTATCTAAATATTTTCATTTTTATTATTTTGTATGCAATTAATCGAATAAAATAAAAAATTGAATTAAATGAAATCTTAGACGATTATACAAAACGTTTATTTGATATTTTATTTGTAATCTAACGTCTTTAAAAAAAAATCATCAAAATTCTTTCAAGACAAAATATTGGCTACTTTTATTAAAAAAACAATATGAAATTGCATGAGGCCGATCGAGTATACTCGGAAACAACGAGAAAGCGCCTAACTCTTTCTATTTATAAATATATATATATATATATATATATATATATATATAAATATATCTATCTATTTCTATTATCTTGTTTTTATTTATTTATTTTTTTTTTTTCTTTCTATCTATCTTTCTGTCTGTCGCACAAAATCGCGTAGGCGCATATAGGCGCATATATATATATATATTAGTGTATACATTACATATAGGAATATTAGAGACGCATATAGAGACGCATATATAGTTGGCGCATCATAGAATAGCGCATATAGAAGCGCATATACATTATATATTTCTAGATTCGAAGTTACAATATCAATTGTTTAACATATTTTTTCAATAGTTTCCTTATTCTCACAGGTAGTCGTCAACGCTTTGGTACAAGCTATTCCATCCATCTTTAACGTCTTGCTGGTCTGCCTTATTTTTTGGCTGATTTTCGCCATCATGGGCGTGCAGCTGTTCGCCGGCAAGTACTTCAAGGTAAGAATCAAATTTAACAAAATTAATTCCAACTATATTCTATCTGCTATATGTGTGATAGAAAGAAAAAAATGTAATTTTATATATTAAAACGAAAATAATATATTATATATTTAAAATAATTGTAATTTTATTAAAAATTAAATTACAGTGCGTCGATACGAATAAGACTACGCTTAGCTACGAAATAATACCGGATCGTAACGCTTGTATTGCGGAAAATTACACGTGGGAAAACTCGCCGATGAATTTCGATCACGTAGGTAAAGCTTACCTGTGCCTATTCCAAGTGGCTACCTTCAAAGGATGGATACAAATCATGAACGACGCGATCGATTCGCGAGAGGTACAAAAATATAATCAGTGCATCAACAATTTGCGACACGCGTGATCCATTGAATTTATTTTTCATCTTTGTCTTGTCTTATTTTTGTTTTTTTTGTTTTTAGGTCGACAAACAACCGATACGCGAGACGAACATCTACATGTATCTCTATTTCGTATTTTTCATCATATTCGGATCATTTTTTACCCTTAACCTGTTCATTGGTGTGATCATCGACAACTTTAACGAGCAAAAGAAGAAAGCCGGTGGATCACTCGAGATGTTCATGACGGAGGATCAAAAGAAATATTACAATGCCATGAAAAAGATGGGAAGCAAGAAACCATTGAAGGCCATCCCTCGTCCAATCGTAAGTTAATCAACTTTTTTTGCACATTAACAAAATTACCAATGACAAAATTAGCCATTAGATTATTCAATTAAATATATTTGTTTGATCTTTGATTTTTTAGTGGAGACCGCAAGCGATAGTGTTCGAAATAGTGACGGACAAAATGTTCGATATGATAATCATGTTGTTCATCGGGCTTAACATGCTTACGATGACATTGGACCATTATCAAATGAGCGACACATTCAGCAGCGTTCTGGACTATCTCAATATGATATTCATTGTGATATTCACCAGCGAGTGTCTCATGAAGATTTTCGCCCTACGTTACCATTATTTCAAGGAGCCCTGGAACCTCTTTGATTTAACTGTTGTTATATTATCAATATTAGGTAACGTAACATAATGATTAACTCAGTCGTATGACTCTGATGAAACGATGTCAAGAATTTACGACGAAACTAAGAATCCTGTTGGTTGTTTCATTTTTATTTCAATTCAAATAATTCGTTAATAAACAAAACGAATTAATCGATACACGAATGCTTTATCTTTCAGTAGTAGTAGTAGCAAATTATATATAGCAAGCATCATCATAGGCATGTAACAAACGGCTAAAACATTTGTTTCACCACAATTATATATATATATATATATATTTCTCTCTCTTTCTCTCTCTATCTGTAACTATATATTTCTATCTATCTTTATCACGTGCACGTCAAATTGTTTTCGACATAAAAAAAAAATAATATCTAAGAATACTTCAAAGAACCAACAGATTCGTACGTTTCATTTGCGTCGCAACGACTGATCGATATCATTAAGTTACGTCGCCTCACATTGACGTTACTTTGATGTTATCCTATTCATGATTCCTTTTCTATGACAACCTTATATATACCTCGATCCTTGAAAAAACAAAAAAAAAAAAGAACAAGTATACAATAATTGCTGCTAATGCACCAAACTTCTTTATCTCCTGACGATGATGTATACACAGTAGATGCAAACAAAACATAAGATATTAACACGTTGACCCTAGTTATTACATTTATTCATTTATTTATGTGTTTTAAAAAATTAGTGTAGAAAAATTTAGATACAAAAAAAAAATGATATATAAAATAATAATAATTAGTTACACTTTTTTTTAATATTAATTTTAGAATATTATATGATTTCTAATTTGTTAGTCTCAGTCAACGTGTTAATTAATAAATTTTATATACAAATATATCTCTGATAATTATCATTCGTCGGGAGAAAAAGCAAGGAACGCGTGCGAACAAAAAAAGAATTTATATTTTTTGACTAATCTTAATCGATGTTACCGGTAAGATGGGGTCTGTATCAAAAATAGATCTTAGATACTTTTTTCTACAACAATTTCTCTTAGATCTAGTTTCGAGATCGTGTTTTTTTCTTATTCTACTGTTTATTTTATTTTCTTTCACTTCGATTTTTGGAATGTCACGATATTTCGTAAAATAATACACCATTTTTTTTCTTTTCTCTCTTATAAGGTGATAGATCATATTTTTCTTTACTGCACAGTAGATCTCAGATAATTAGATAAAACTAATTTTACATTAGTTTATCTCGATCGAATATTATTGACGAATATGATTGCACGATTCTTAAATTTAATACATGCTCGAGTATGCATCTACGGTTTATTATTTCGATAATTAACATACGAAAGAGCATGATTCTTTTTTTATTCTTTTCACTGATATGTTTTCTACTTTCTGGAGATGTAAATTAGCCATGATGCACCTTATTTGCTTTTATATAATAAAATACTTAAAGCAAAAAAAGAAAAAAAATAAATCAGAAGCATCAATCACATATTTCATGGTGGATAAAAGCCAAATATATTCTCGTCCATAGTTTTTAAACAATTTTATATACACGAGTAATTGTATTCGAATATTTTCCATCGACACTTTTACAAATAGATCAGATCTTTGATACACGACAGCTACGTAGAGAATTTTTTTTAAGAGCATGGCATACCGAATCTTTTTTTTTCTTTTTTAATTACTATAGATCAACAAGTGCACGGAAAGTTTACGAATTAATTAGAACTATTATCATGAATTATTCGTGATACCTTTTGCCTTAAACCGATCTTCCAAATAATTTATTTTTATATCTTTTTTACATTTATCTCTTTCCATCAATAATATCTCCAATTTCCTATGTCCAAAATTGCCATGAAAATTTAAAAAATCGTTCTAATATATTGCACGTCTTTCTTTTTTTTTTTTAATATAGGTCTGGTGCTCAGCGATATAATCGAGAAATATTTCGTATCCCCGACCTTACTTCGAGTAGTGAGAGTGGCTAAGGTCGGTCGTGTGCTACGTCTTGTGAAGGGTGCAAAGGGCATCCGTACTTTATTATTCGCTCTCGCGATGTCCTTACCCGCTCTATTCAACATTTGCCTACTGCTGTTCCTCGTAATGTTCATCTTCGCTATCTTTGGAATGTCCTTTTTCATGCACGTTAAGGACAAGAGCGGTCTCGACGATGTATATAACTTTAAAACCTTCGGCCAGTCGATGATACTGCTGTTCCAGGTTAGCAAACGATCATTTATAACAACAAAATCAAAAATATAATAAATTCCAATAAGAAAATCTTCCTCGTAGAACACGATTTTAAAGATAAAGTTAAAAAAGTTCAAGTTAGAAAAGAAAAAAATTATAATATCATAAAGTTATTAACTTAGCGAATAAATGAAATCAAATTTTTCTAAATTTGAATTATAAGAGAATTTACTATATTTCCTTATTGAATTAATATAATGGTAATGATTAATTATTGAATACAATTTTTATGTAAAACAGATGTCAACGTCCGCCGGTTGGGACGGAGTTTTGGACGGCATAATAAACGAAGAGGATTGTCAAGAACCGAACAACGAGATCGGTTATCCTGGCAATTGCGGTTCTTCGACGATCGGTATCGCCTATCTCCTGTCTTACTTGGTGATCAGTTTCTTGATCGTGATAAACATGTACATCGCTGTTATCTTGGAGAATTATTCTCAAGCTACGGAAGACGTGCAGGAGGGTTTGACCGACGATGATTACGATATGTATTATGAAATTTGGCAACAATTCGATCCTAAGGGTACACAATATATAAGATATGATCAGCTATCGGACTTCTTAGACGTATTGGAGCCCCCATTGCAAATACACAAGCCGAATAAGTATAAGATCGTGTCGATGGATATCCCGATATGTAAGGGTGACCTTATGTTTTGCGTCGACATCCTCGATGCTCTTACAAAGGACTTTTTCGCGCGCAAGGGTAATCCAATAGAAGAGACTGGTGATTTAGAGGTACAAACTCGTCCAGGTGAGGCTGGTTACGAACCGGTATCGTCGACTTTATGGCGCCAACGGGAGGAATATTGTGCAAGGTTAATACAAAATGCCTGGAGAAAGCACAAACAACAACGTCTCGGAGGTCCTAGCGAGGAAAGCGATGATCCCGATACGGATCCGCGTGTTCGACAGACAGCGGTCCTAGTCGAAAGCGACGGATTCGTCACGAAAAATGGTCATCGCGTAGTCATTCACAGTCGATCGCCAAGCGTAACCTCAAGAACGGCTGACGTTTGATCATTATTGCCGTTTACTTCGCCGAATTCCTTCGATTTTATCAAACGAGCTGCTCCACGCTAGCAAAGCAATTGCCGCCATTGCCGACGTCAACGTCGTCGTCGTCGTCGTCGTCGTCGTCGTCGTCGTCGTCGTCGTCATTCCTGCCATCGTCATTAATCCTGCCATCGTCATCGCAAAAACAACTAACAAGAAGAACAAGAAGAAAAACAAGAGGAAGATAAAATCTATGCAACACTGCTGTTCTCCTCTTTGTCGTCGTCATCGTTGTTGTCGTCGTCGTCGTCGTCGTCGTCGTCGTCGTCGTCGTCGTCGTCGTCGTTGTCGTCGTCGTCGTCGTCGTTATCGAAAAGCCTACGATGATCGATCTCGCACTTACCATCCGCAAAAGACACTACTAAAATACGATTGTACATTAAACCATTCCTCCTCCAACGAGTTGCCTTCAATCGATCTTAAAAAAGCGAAGCGACGAAGAGAGGAAGAAGAAGAAGAAGAAGTCGAAGAAGAAGAAGAAGAAGATTAAACAAAAAAAATAAGAAGAAGAAGAAGAAGAAATGGTGGCAAGACGAGTCGGACTTCGGGGCCCGCTTCCCCCGACAAAAATCGTGGCAACCGAGGCCCGACTAATCGAACTACCAACCCTTTTCTTCTTCTCTCCCATTGTATGTACATATATATATAGTTATATATATATATACATGCATAAAATATATATATATATATACATTAAACGTGTGTGTGCGTGTGCGTGCGTGTGTTAGTCACGTTAATCGAGAACGATGATCGATGGCAAAGTGGCGCGCGGCCCACCACCAACCACGTGGCTCGAGTCGAGGACGACCCACGCGTCGTATATACCGTATATATATATAAATATATATATATACACCACTAGCTCGATTTCCGCGATTACTACCTGCCGTTTGGATTTTTTACAACGTTTTACAGGAGGTCGGCCGGCAGCTCGAACGAGGAGTGCGTGCGACCGCGCTGCCAAATAATTCAAAAAAAAAAACAAAAAAAAAAACAGGGCGCAGCGACGACGACGTGTGATTGGACGAAGAGGACGATTAGATTTTAAAAGGAGACAAGAGAGAAACTACAAACAGTTTGACAAAAAGACAGCTAGACAAAGAGAGGGAGATAGAGAAAGAGAGAGAAGGAAAAAATTACAAAATAACTGCACGAAGAAGAAAAAGAAGATGAAGATGAAGATGAAGATGAAGAAGAAGTGGAGAGTCGCGTGAAACCTAACGATCCAGCCTTCTCCGTTTTCTACGATCGTTATCTAATACTATTACATGGCTGCTTTGCGCGCTCGCGAGACTCGCGACCATTAAAAAAAATTCTACATCATTCTTCTAATACGTCATCCCATATTCGTGTCATCATCGGTCATCATCCGCGTTGCCTACGCTCGTCCTTTCCTTTTTCTCCTCTTCTCTGCCTTTCTCTTTGCCGCTCATCTGGCGTCACATTGTAGAAATAAATAAATAAATAAATAAATAAATATATATAATAATAATATATATATATATATATATATATGAATACGGAAAAATACACGTAATACAGGAATCGTAATAATGCGTGTTTAATCGATAAATTGTTTAAGCTTGCCCGATATTCTCGTATGATTTTTTTCTTTTTTTTTTTTAACGTATATGGTAATCAATGTAATATACATCGAGACGAACTATCGCGATAATTAAAGTTATTCATTCTTCTATCGAGTTTAATTCGAAAAACTAAACAATAAAATCATGTGTGATATTACGATTTACTATAGATGTGGGATAGGTCAGCACCATTCTCGTGTAAAGGGGATTGGACTGGGAAGGGCCCTACTGGTATCTAAAAAATTAAAATACAATCTCCTGGTTCGAGTCTTGGTCCTAAGGCCCTATTTTTCTCACTAATTCTACTTAATTAAAAATGAATAAAAACAAAGGAAGAATTAAAATAATATAATGTGTGATATTACGATTTACTATATATATTAAAAAAAAAAAAAATAAATAAATAAATAAATAAATAAAGATAAAGAAGGGGAAGTAAAAAAAAAAAAAAAGAAAAAAAGTCGCAATAAACACGATATTACGATTCCTGAATTTGCATTACACGAGAAACACGGAAAGATACATAGCGTTTCTACCACCCCCGTCCTCCCTCCATGTTCAAGGAGGTTCGTTTTCGACTCACGTGCGCGCAACCAAAGGCAGAGACAGATTTGAGAAAAATATAAATTCAATGATGCATTAAAAAAGTGGGAGAGAGAGAAGAGGAGGAGAGAGTTAACGCGAGTTTCGAACGAAACAAAAGAGAAAAAAAAAAGAAAAAGAAAATAAAGAAATAATTAAATAATTAAACAAACAAACAAACAAATAATTAAATAAATGAACAAAAAAAAAAGTATATAAGGAAAAAAACGCGGTTCATCCTCGGCTAAAAGGTATTCGCACGCTTCTCGCGAGAAACGAAAAAAAAAAAAAAGAAAAAAAAAGGAAAAAATAAAATACTTTCACGCACGCTCTTGCGACACGAAAAAAACTTAACGAACTAAACGAATAATTAATAATAATAATTAATACAAACAAACAAACAACAAAAAAAGAAAAGACAAACAAGCAAACATAAAACACAACACACAAACAAAACTAACATGGTTAGCGCGCTTCTCGGGGTACGAGTGTACGTATGCGTGTATGCATGTGCGTATGCATGCGTGTATGTATGTAATAATCTATGTATGTACGTATGTATGTATGTATGTATGAATGCACCAAGAGTTTGTAGCTTCTAACGTTCTTTCGTAATCATATCGCATCTCAAAAAAAGATTTTTCTCGAATTCGGGATTGCGCGTGTATGTGTGACAATGTACAACAATGTGTATGTGTCCAATCGGGGAACCGAGGGACGACGGAGTTGGTTGAGGAAATTAATTTTTCCCTCCTCTTTGTATATTGTTCTATTTCATTTTTTAATTCTAATTATTGGTGTGTCTTTTCTTATTGTTAATTTGTTTATTTTTTCTTTTTCTATGTGACAATTTCGTTTCTTCTCTATCGCTCGTTCATATCGTGTAGAATGTGCAATATCTCGGTCGCGCACGCGCACACACACTATCTCGATATCGATGCGTCGCACAATGATTTTTCAAAATCATCAAAACGTGAATAAAATTTGGAAATAACGGTGTATTACAAATGTTCATTAGAAAAGCTCTAAGTAGGAGCTAATATAGTGGCTACATTTCTTTTTATATTCATTAGATAAAGAATTACAATGAAAAGAAGCCAATTAGAACGCAAGTATTGTCAACAATTTTTTACTTAGAACGATCTCTTTCGAATAAATATTTCTAATTCCAAATTTTAATCACGTTTTCGATGATTTTGAATGACTATGTCGTCGTTGTCTCGCGACTAATCTTCTTCTTCTGTTCTCCCGTTGAAAAAGAGTCGCTCGCCAATAAACAAAAAGAGAGAGAAAGAAAAAAAAAAGTAGAAAAAGAAAGAGAGAGAGAAAGAAAGGAAGAAAGAAAGAGAAAAATGAGAAAACGTGTTTTTCACAGGTATATAAAAAATATATTCACGTGTTACCGATCCGCCGATCTAATCGAAATATATTGCACAAGCAAACTAGAAAAGAAAGAAAGAAAGAAACGAAACGAAACGAAACGAAACGAAAGGAAGGAAGAATGAAAGAAAAGAAAAAAAATCGATTAGTCCAATTGATAATTCTTATCGTTGCGTAAAAGAAATAACGAAGGGAAAAAAAGCGTGATAACGATGACGAATTGAATGAAAAGAAACGAAAAGAAAAGATTAAAAAAAAACAAAAATAACAGTCGTCTCAATCACATCTTACTGTCACCTAACTCGTCATTTTAATTGAAGTAAATTACAACGATGAATAGTAATAATGCGCAATAAAATATAGATTAATCATTATTATCATTATTATTATTATTATTATTATTATCGTTATTATCATTATTACAATGATTAATATTATTAATAGTACATTTGTGCAATGAAAATGAATGAAAAGAAAACACACGTATTGGAAGGAACGTTTAAGTGTGCTTGATTACAATGTGCGTATGTGAATTTGAGTTGAAAAGTATGTGTGGCCGGCTGGCTGGTTGCACCGAGTGCATGTTAAATGCAACTCCTCCCCTCCTATCTCTCTCTCTCTCTCTCTCTCTCTGTCTCTCACACATCTTCTCTCTTAACGTATCTCTAAAGTATCATCCCGAAAACTATCAAAAACGATTTCAACCTTTCACTTTTGGGCTCGATCAAAGCAACCCAACCCCACCCAACCCCCCACCCACCCTCTCCGTCTCGTCTTACCGCGTAAACGAATGTGCAAATAATTCGATAATAATCAAATCGTTTGTTTGTACGCGTTTAATATATTTAGCTATTATATTTTCGATACTATCACAAAAGCACACGATCGTTGTGTTAAAACGCGCGGAAAAGCAATAAGAGAAAGGGAGAGGACAAAAAATGAAGGAAAGAAAAGAGAGAGAGAGAAAAAAAAATGATAAAGATAACGAGATAAGGGCTCGCTCGACAGTTGTTGATCAAAAAGATGAAAAGAAGGAATAAAAAGAAAAACATTGAAAGACCTCTCTCGACGAGTCGCATAATCGGCATCGTTCTTCCCCCCACGAGAGGTCCAAAGTGTTTTTTTTTTTTATTGGTATACGTTTCAATGATTAGAATCAAAGAAGATGGACTCGAAAAGGTTTTCTATAAATATTGAAGGGTTAAACGGGAATCGTATGGTTAAAGGTGCCGAGTGAAAGGTTGAAATTGTTAACAAGAGTTTAGAGATGGAAAAAGAGTAAGAGAGTAAGAGGTTGAGAGAGTGAGAGAAAGAGAAAGAGAGAAAGGGGAGGATTATGTGAATGAGAGAGAGAGAGAGAGAGAGAGAGAGAGAGAGAGAGAATGCACGCTGAACGTGCTTCGTTTACATTCCCTTACTTTTTTAAACAAACATACACGCGTAAGTATGTATGTGTGCATGCAAGTATGTCCTACCTAGCTTCCTTCTCAAAGGGTTGCTGCTGTTTGTAAGTAATAATGAAATGGAATAAAAGTTGAACATAAAATAAATAAATAAAGAAAGAAAGAGAGAGAGAGAGGGGAAGAAAAGGAAAGAGATAACGAAGATAAACGGGTTGAATTAATTAAAAATAAAAGAATGAGACAGAAAAGTGAGACTTTTCTTTCCTCGTCTATGCCATAAGACGTGAAAATGAATTTTTAAACGTACACAAGTATGCCATAATTATACTTTCTCTCCGTGGACGATACTGCCGATATGAATTACAAAATAAAATAACAAAATGAAGATGTGGTAGAAGAATAAGAGGTGCAAGAAGAGGAAAATGAAGAAGGGGTGAAACTAACGCACGCGAGAGAATAATACATTAAATAAAAAAATTTAAAATAAAAATATCTTTTTTCTTTTAAAAGAGAAAGAAAATAGCAAAATGAAACATAAATAAAGAGAAAAAAAATATATACGGAAAATAAATATGGGGCTTAATATTATATGGTGTCTCGACAATTTCGAGAATCGCGATGAAAAAATTTCAAATCATAGACTGGACAATGGACACGCACACACACGCGCGCAAGCACGCAGAAACACGTACATGCAAAATAATAAAAAAAAAAAAAGAAAAAAAAAGAAAAAAAGAAACAAGAAAAGAAATTTTCATTGAATCATTTCAATTAGAAAAGGTAAAATGAAATATCTCAACTAGATCATAAAAATAAAAAGAAGAACACTCACGAAATAACACGAAACACTTCACGTACACACGAACACATATGCAAAATG